AATAATTATTTTTGCCTGTCAAAATGCTTAAAATTACGCTGCATGTAAAAATTTTGATGTCGTTGATACTTTGGGCATAACTTGGTTTCTCTGAGAAAGCAGAGAACTGAAACTGATGTTTTATGGCATCAGTGAGATCCAAGTACCATGTAGATTTTTAGTTACATGAACATAACCGCTATTCTTACCATAACTCTTAAACTTTTAACTTTAAACATTTTTTCCTAACTTTATTATTTTTTCATATGGAAACTAGCTGGTGCCTGAGAATCTTTCAAAGCTTGATGCTTTACTTGGTTAAGGAAGCATGCCTGCTTGTGTTAGAAGATGATTAATGTTTTGATTAATTCTGTATCTCTTCCTGATTTTGACTGTTGGATTGGTCCAGTCCCACTTGCTGTGTATTGTAAAAACAATGAATGATAGTTAAGGTCCTCTTCTGTTAGTTTCAAAAATGAAATTCTGTGTGTGTTGATGACTTAATACGGTTTTAGGAAAAAACATAAGCTGAGAGTTGCGTCAGTTTAACACTGTTTAAATGGATGTAGCTAAATTGGAATATTAGAAGATTTGTTTTAATTCTTCAAATTCTTAGTTTTAGCTCAAACTGCAGTCAGGAATGCATCAATTTAAAAACAGTAAGTCTGCTGGTCTTCCAAAAGATACAACTTTATAATGTAGGAGCTTTAATGGTGAGAAATAGTAAAGCTGTGACCACTGGTGATGAAAGTGGTTTGCAAAGTGGTGGAAGGATTTGAATATTTTCAGTGATTTCCTACTCTGAGTATTCTTACAGAATGGTTTATGTAGACCTATTTTATGTTGCAACCCAGCAGTCTTAAACACATGTGCAGAGTCTTACTTCCTCTGAAGGAATAACTGACAGTTGAAAATGAGTAACTTTTTTATGGTGTCTAATGTGATGACAAACACTCACATGAACACTGTTCTTTGTATGTTCAAGGGGGCAGAATGCTCTAAGTTTAATGAAGAAATCAAAACAGTACATATCTGTAGACAGATGTAAGCAGTATAAACAGGATATCCTGCTTGAAAACATATCTTACTTAGAAAGGTATTAGATTGAAAAAATATGTTCTGTAGATAAAGGAAACAAAAGATTACATTACTTGTATAGTTTCAGGGACAGAGCAAGAAAAATGTCCTCTGGACCAGAGTGCATGTCATTGCTACCATGGCTAACTAGGTCATGCTGTATTAAGGTGGGAACAAGATAAAGATATTGAAACCAGTTTGTCTTTTCTTTTAAATTTATTCCTCCACTACTGTGATGTGGGCAAGACAAATTTGTCATTTACTGCTAAACTTACTGATTAGAATGTTGAAATTCTTTTGAGTTTCTGCTTTTACCTATAGTGGAGATGGGTACTTATATCCTTTCAGAAACCTATTAATGCATTGACAGAACTCACAGGTTTTAGAGATATGGGGAAGCTGCTGTATGCCCTTAATTTTTTTTTCAGTCATATTTATGATTATAGGTATCTCTCTTTACTAACACTCCGTTAAATCTTTAGAGTGTTATACAATGTAATTACCGCTTCAGCATTAAGACAGAGGTAAAGAATCTAGAATTGTACTTAGATGTTCACTTGGAAAGTAAAGCTTCCTATATTGTTGAATCAGTTTTCTTTCTGTGAGAGGGAAGAATCTAAAAAATTGTAAATGTGAAGGAGCTAAAGCTTTATAAATGAACTTGAAAATTGTGATTTCATAAGAAACATACCAAAGAAGCTCTTGGGCAAGGGAAAACCTACTTGGTAGTGTGTCAGAAATGTAAAATAAGTTAAATAAAAGACTGTTTACTTGACTTCCTTTTTTTCTTAATATGTGATTTCCATGCTAAAAATAAAAAGGTGTGCTTGGAGGATTTGACCTTCCTACTTTAGCACTGCTCCTCAGATTTTTAGGTATTTTGATGTATTTCAGAACAGAATAAAATGATACTTTCTGCAGCTTAAGAGAGCAGAACTTTTATCTCCTCTAACGTGCTGCTGGTGTTGCTTTCTGAAACCTTATTTAAATCCTGGTAAACTTGAGGGCAGTGCTGAAAATACAGTACCACATAATTCTGTCCATACACATTACTGCCTAAAGCAAGTGGCAAAGTTGCAAGATACTCAAGAGACTATAATCTTGAATTGGGTGTAATGGAGACCATAAAAGGAAAGGTTATGTCATCAAAATTCAATACTTTGTATGGAGTCTTGTTGAGGCACCAGAGGTGTGATTGAACAAGAGACAGGTATGTGAGAAAACTGCTGTTAGTGGTAAAAAAAACTAATCTTGAAGATGTGTAGAAGGATTCAAGCAAAATGTCAAAAAACTCAGGAGGCATATCAAACAGAACTTCAGGAGTTGTGCATTTGAGAGAATGCATGTGGTCAGCTGCACTAATACCTTAGGAAGGAAGATGGGTTGTACTCCATCTGTAGTTAGGAGTGAGAGACAATAGGCTAACAAGAGATTTGATCTAATTATTTTATAATTCAAGTAGTAGTCCTTCCATTCTGTCAAATTGAAGAAAAGTGGAAAGAAAGTTTCACAGTTAATGTGTTCTGCAGAAGTGGAATTTTGAGGCTGGATCAGCAGTTAAAGAAAACTGGGAATGCCTGTTTGTTTCATATGTTGCTTCTGAATGTTTCTTGTGAGGCCTTGGAGAAAGTATGTAAGACAAGAGAAAAGGTAAAATTCCAATAAGCAGAAGAAATGGTATCACTTGAGGAGCAAGTGATACTGGTGGCTGATGTAGGTGACTGTGCCTGTCCTGATGTTTGTTGCCATTACTCCTGGCTTGAATGTAGAGAGAGAAAATACAAACTTACATGCCAAGAAAACTAAAGTTTAGGTATTTGGTCCTGTAGTGGAGTTTTCTACTTCACTGAGTTGGTAGATGTCTTCATCCTCTACAAAGTTTGAGATGTAATAGGTAGCTTATGTTTCTCAGCTTGTGAGGGGTAGTCTTCAAGCCAGCTCTCATACTATCTGTGCATGTTCTGAATGTTTGGCTTTCAAGTGTCATGAATGTGTCAGGATTATTTGCAAAAGAAAGATTAAAATAAAAATTCATTTTCTCCTGTGAAGATTATGATATCCAATATTAGTGATTATATTCTGCATGAAAAATACATTTTAAAAGGAAAATTTTTATTTATAGTTGGCAGCTACTCAGTAGCTGCCAACTATACATAAAAATGACCATGTTGCTGCTTAAGTTTCAGTACTTCTACAGACTGTCTAGCTTGTTTCAGTGTAGTGTAAATTAATGGAAAATCTGAAGAGAATGAAAAGGGAACAAAGTATGCCAAAACATAGTAGTATTTGTTCAAAGAGATGTGCTAAAGAATTTGTGCTCATTGCCAAAATTGTCTGTGTAGAAGGAGATGAGGATTTTTTTCCTTCTGCTATGATTATATGGTGACAAAATTTGTGTTCCCCATTGTAAACAGGTGTTAACTACCAAATCATGATACAGTACAGGACTGTGTCAGTTTCCAGCAGAGAAACAACTTGTTCCAGAGTATGTGTTTCAGAGATGTCTCCTTTATGATCTTCTTCCCCACCCCACAGCTTTTCAGGTGGTGAAATCTCAGCTATTAATCATTTGCCAGAGAAGAAACTGATTATGAAACAGATTCTATTAATCTCTTGACTGCTGCTAGAGTTTCAAGTGACTTCTTTCTGTATTTAGATGAAAACATAAGATTTCTGTTTTCAATGTCTTGTTTCATTCTGGAAGTTTTGAAAGCAGTTGTTTCAATTCTAAGTAAAAGACTGGATTTACTGATTGCTTTGTTTACAGCCCATGATATTGTTAGTCTTAATGCTTTGGGAACAATCCTGTTTAAATGTTAGTTTTTGGTTTGAAACTTGGTTAATACATTAATTTTGACTAGTTCGTCAGTGATACTGAAATAAACTCCTTGAGACCATTTTTACACTATTTGGAACTCCGTAAGTTATGAAATGCAGAACTTCTGATTCTTAGAGCAGCAATTACAATACCACGTTTAACAGATTTAGAAGTCAAATGTGACTTCTTGTTAAATGTCTTTTTTGGTTAAACAAAAGGAAGCTTTTTGTTCCTTATCAGACTGTTAAAGCTTAGTGACGCTAATGTAGATTTGAATTAAATTACCCATTTTTAACTACTTTGTAACTACTAAACTGCATCTTCTAAGTAAATACTGTAAGGTGTGAGTAACATAGGTGCAAATGCTAGAAACAGGACTTACAAGTTCGCCATCGACATTCCCTGGTGCTCTTGAGGAGTTTTTAATTACTTTGAAATAAAGTAGTAGGGCTTCTGGGTGCACGAGAGTGCTTGCCCAGGTCTGTGATACCACACTTGAGTTTGTTATTTTTGTTATCTCTTTGGGGATAGTCAGTAGAACAGTATCTAACAGTTTGTTGTCATAACACGTGCTCATGAACTTCACCATTAAGTTGTCCTATTTCCCATAGCTGAAAGATGCTCCTTTTTATTTCCAAGCTATAGTTAATCCCAGAACTAGCAGATGTACTGTATAGATGCATTTTTTTATTTTTTATGTTGCGTACAGATTTCTAAATTTTTTTTGCTTTTTAGATGCTTTATTATTAAAAAAACATAAAAGAACTGTTTTTATACACCTTCTAAATGATGTGAGCAATCTTCTAAGTGTTCTGAGGAGGTGCATGTAATTTTTACTTCAATAGCTGAATTCCATAAACAGAATGAGTAGGCAGCAAATTTACAGACATGAAAGATGTTGAAGGATGGGTACTGCAATTAAAAAAAAAAGACCAGTTGAAATCCCCAAAATAAAACAGAAGAAAAAAGACAAAACCAGAGCAGATTTTTCAGTTAACTATGATGTTCATGAGAAGAGGAAGAAAATGGCATTAAGATTTGGGAAATAATAAAAAGGCAAGACTGTAATGGTAGATTATAATTTGTTACTGTATTTAATGCCTAATATACGTTTTTCCCCCCACAGAAATTAGCAGAGTACGGAAAGACATGTATAACGACACATTAAATGGTAGTACGGAGAAGAGAAGTGCAGAATTACCAGATGCTGTGGGACCTATTGTGCAGTTACAAGAGAAACTATATGTGCCTGTAAAAGAATATCCAGATGTAAGTATATCTTTTTAGTCACTAAATTATTTTTTTGATCCTTGTGGTTGTCTTTAAATGTAAATTTCATGTGATGCTACCCTTGGATCACGCTGAGTTGCTTTGGATACTAGGGAATTGGTGTATGTTCCATTTACTTGATTTGCAGCGAGTGTGAGTGGAAGAAGGTTGTGTTAAATACAAAATCAGTATGGATTGCTAAACCTTAGACATAAGTTCCTAATTTTCATGTTCATTCAGTGTTTTCCGTCCTGAGACGCTTGTGAAGTGAATTTTAAGAGGAAAGTATTTCTTGGGTTGGTGCTTTTTTCTTATTGGTGTGCCTCTTAAGTGAGCTGCAGAATGCTTTGAAGCCTGTTAAAGACATTTTGGAGACTGTACTTAGTCTCAATTACTGTTTGTCCCATACCTGTGTAACCAGTTCTATTGCTTATAGAAGTGACTTTATCTCAGGTTTGGTTGTCCTCTCCCCTTGCACCACCCTGCTTAAGCAGAACTCTTTGCTTGCCTGTCAGTATTGTGCACTCCATGGGGTGTTCTGTTCCAGTGTACACTTACCTTCTGAAGGAGAATGGTTTCATTTAACTGGAACTCTTTTGAATTAATCTGATCTGAAGTGTTTTAAAAACTACTTGGGAAGAACAGTCCTTTCAAAATCTACCCCAACTACCCCCAACCATTTTCATTGATCAGTGACAAAATAGGAAACTGTGTTATTCTTCCCTAATAGAATTTACAGGTAAGGGATTTGCACATTAAAGTGATATAAAGTGGAAGAAAGTACAGAACAGCAAAAATGGAGGTAACACTTGGGTATTTCTGTGGCTTTTCTTTTTATGCTTAATTAAATTAAACTCTCCAAATGGAGTTTTATTATTTCAGTGCTGCTTAGAACATACAGGCCTCTAAATAGACCTCACTGTGCCATGCTCCATTAAGAAAATTAAGTGCAAGTCCTTATTCAGAGCAGAATACTTACACAAATGTCTTTTCTCCCTTTTCAAGTTTTCATATAGTTGTCTTGCTTTGGGATTAAAATACCCGTACTGGAAAAAGTGTTCAGGGAATTTGCACTGGCACTAAGGACATCTCTCTTCCCTTGTATTGCATTTTTCTTCCAAATTGAACATATGTGTGTCTGTCTATATCTGTGTACATGCATACATGTCCCCACACCAAAAACAGTAATTCTTTTGAAACTCCTCAGTTGTTACAGATTTTTGAGGGTGATTGTCCTATGCAGTTGTTCCACAGAGCCATGTAAATAGCTCTGGACTTTATACCTCCAGATATCTTAGAATTATATTGCTTAGTGGCTTTTTAGAACATTTCTTAGTTATTGAAATCTTGGTTTCATAACTTGACAGTGTATTCTTTTTGAAGAGTTGCTTTAGTTATTTGTTGCAGTTTTTACCAAACTTGAAGCCTGTTGTATGAGGATTATGAGTAAGAAAAAAGGTGTTGGATTTCCCTTAACTATTAAGCTGCTCTTTTAGAAATCACGGGTTTAGTGGCTTAGCTCTTCACTGTCAGTTAATTATCAAATATAGTGTAAACGAGCAGGAAAGAGTTTCTCTGTAGTTTCTGACAAAGAAATTATTTCACTAGCTACTGCTAGCTCTTTGTTTTCTTTTAGAAGAATGGCCTTGAAGAGGTCACTAATTTATTTTAATAAACTCTTAGGCATTCGGAAGTTGGAGAAGCTTGTGATTTGTGTACATGTGACCCGGAATAAAAAGGCTGTTGGCTCTTTTGCGGTGATTTGAAGTGTGTGCTAGAAAATGCAAAGCTTCTGCCACTATGGTGGGATCTGGCAGTTCAAGCTTCACTGGGGAGCCAAGCCTGGTGTTCTCTGTGTGCTCCTGTATTTGTTCATTGCTACTTGGAGTGGGATCTGCACAGCCTTAATAATTGGTTAATCAACTAGAATATACCACTACATACAAATAAAAAGCTGTGATTTGGTATGTAGGCCATTTCCAAAATATTTTTGCAAGTTAGAAATTAAGTAACCTGCTTTGGATTCAGGCTAGCACAGCATTTAAATGGTCTGAAGTACAGTGATTCCAACTTAGTTTTAAAAAAAGTGTAAAATTCACATATAAGTATTAATTTCAGCAGTGTAGGTAAATATGTGTGTAAAGAGAGAAATTGTTATCTGTGAGAATTTTCACAACACTACGTGAAACTTCTTACTCATATTCAGCAATTTAGTTGTTACCACATATAGGAAAGACATGCTGTATAGGCTATGAGGGTGGGTTTCTCAGATAAATCTAGTTGATTCTTTCTATTGCCATAATTTTCTTCCAACTGACTATCTTGTATACATTACAAAGATACAAAGTTGGATAGACCTAAAGTTGTCCAGAGAATAATGACCAGAAACTGGTTTTCTGATGTTTATTTAATAATATTTTTAGTAACAGAAATAAAAAAAAAATAATCAGCAAAATATTAGGGTGTTCTAATAAGCTTTTGTTATGGTATATATTTTTGACTTAGAATTTAGAGCATATTGGTTAGTTGACTGTAGTGAATACTGCATAGTACTATAGTGACATTTTGTGCACAGAATCCTAAGTTACCTGTGAGGCATAAAAATAGTGGTCTACTGTAAGTTTAAATAAACAGGGATTATATGTGTGTATGTATAAACATACACAAAAGATGAATCAGTAAATTTTCATAGCCTGCCTCACTTTGATATTACTTTGGTTGTCCACACAAAATAAAGAATATATAAAATTAAACTTAAAAGCTAAAATAAATCTATAAAATCCCCTGAAGGCTTCTAATTTATTTTTTTTTCTACTAGTGTATATTGAGGATTTTTAATCTAATATTTATTTGAAGGCCATAGTTGATGCAAGGTTCAACTTGCCAAAAAATTAATTGACTGAAACAGCCTGTAGTTTTTAAATGTTGACTGTGCAGATTCTGAATTTCTGCTTCTGTACTAGTAAGTGAAAGAGACACAAAAATCGTGCTAGGCAAGAATTAATTTTCTTTGGTGTGTTGTATTAATAAGGAGAATTTTTCCATTATGTAGTCACAGTCTGATTAATTGTGTAACTATTGGGATGGTGTCATTTGTGTCACTTTTTTCATAGGAAGTTACTGTTAATTGTGTCTGTAAATATTGTTTTCTTCTAGCACCCTTGAAAGGTGTTTAAACTTTATAGAATTTTTAGTATTAAAACTGAGGTTGAGACACTTAGCTGTTCTGAACCATGTATATATGCTCCTGAAACTTGAGAGAGAACTTTTGCTGATGGCACCCAAGAAATGAAATTCAACTAAATTGTCCTTATTTTGCCCTTAAAAAAGTTAAAAGTGAGTTCTCTACAGGGTAATATTTGTACTCTCATGTAAGTCTTTGGTGTTACAGTTTGAAGACATTTCCAATTCATGGAGAAATAACTTTGATCAGAATTTTAAAACGTAATAAGAAAAGATGTCAGAGAAATTGTTGAGCTCTTAAGCGGAAGAATGGGGAGGATAAGCTATTGTTGGTGAATAGTTAAAAGTCTTTAGCATTTCTTATGCTTCAGATAAATGATTAATTTTCTCAAATTTCTCTAGAGAGATGAGACTAAACTTTTTGCCTGATATCAATTTAAACAGTTCTTGGAATTAGTACCTACAAATGTTGAACTGAATAAATTTTTTTTTCTGTTATAATCATGGCTTTATTATTAGTAAGTACCCTGTTCTTTCTGATTAATGTGAAATTCTCTGTTGGAACTCTTCTGTGCCTCTTCAGTAAAAATGTAAGAACTCAGTAATTATCACATCTAAAGTAGCGTGTCCTTAGAGTATACTGAAGCTCAAAGGCCAGCAGTGATAAACAGCTTGTGCGTACTTTCTGACCATTTTAGTTAAAACTGTTTAATTAGTACAACACAATGATGAACACAGGGACTCATTTTACTATGGGGAACTTACTGACAAAGTGTTTAAATCCTTTTTCAATTTGTAATATCACAGTTTAATAGGATCCCTAATATGGATTAGGAAAATGATAACATTTTTATTTATTGTTCTGATTCTTTTAATTAAGCTTTTCATTCCCTAGTGGTAAACAGGGAAGGAGGCTAAAAGACTTGGTCTTGTTTACCCTTGCCATTTGAAGGAAAGAGAGAATATAACTGGTCTCTGTACATAAACTCGGGATACAGAATAATGGCAGGGCTGAAGGAAGATTTGGAAAATGGTCAGTTACTGATGAAAGTACAGATGTATATGAAATAACTAAAGTAGTTTGGTTACTAATTTTCAGTCTTAGTAGGGTCATTGAAAAACATTTTAATAGAAGTAAAGGGAACAAAATTTAATTTTGGTTTTGATCTTATGCATTAATAAGAGGCTGTGTGCTCTGGTTGCACATGGTAAGGATATGGATTGAGAAAGGGCCCCTTTGTTTAGATGCTGTTAAAATGGAGACATGCCTTAATATCTGTATGAAGATTTTTTTTAACCCCTTCTATCTAATGTTTTATTAGATAACCTTCCATTACTGACCATCTGAATCATCTTTTGACAGTTTTTAAAAAAAAAAATTTGAACCATGCTAAACACTGGTGGTTTGGGAGATTTGGGGTTTGTTGGTTTTTTGGGTGGATGTTTTAGTTTTGGGGTTTTTTTGATGCAGGATGACAGATGGTGTCATAATTATATTCATAGATAAGCTGGTCAAATCTCCAGAGAATGTTTGTACTTGGAGGCAAAAGGGTGCAAGACAGACTCAAAAACATTTGAATTAAAAATCCTGTCCTTTAGTCCCTTGTAGTAATCTGCAGGCTGAGCATCAGCTCAGTAGTACCAGTTAACTTGGTCCATGTCTCCATTATTTTTTCCCTCTTAAACTCTTCCAGAATTTAGTGCAATTAAGTTAGGTGAGTACCTTGTCATTTATCTGTTAATGTTCTTCCCATTCTGTTCTTACTAATTTTGCTGTTTGCAGATCCTGTGGTCTTTGTGTGTAAATAAAAAGAAAA